CACACACACACACACACACACACACACACACACACAAACACACACATACACACACACACACACCACACCACACACACACACATACACACATGTGGTGAAGCTAATAAACAATGAACTACATTGTAGTTTGTACCTCTTCCCTTCCCAGGCAGAGGAAAACGGGTCTCCCGACCCTCCCTGTCCCCGGGTTACCGACCCATCCTCCCCAGCAGTGCTATGAACCCACCTTCTAGTACTACTGTTATCAATGGCATTATATATGCAAATAAACAATAAGCAATCTGTTCCCTTCCCTATGCAGGCAGAGGAAAACGCGTCTCCTGACCAACCCTATCCCTGGGTTACCGACCCATCCTCCCCAGCAGTGCCATGAACCCACCCGGGACCACCCCGGCCCGACCCAGGACTCAGCAGCCCATCATCATACAGATAACACATAACTACAGTAATCTGCCTCTTTCCTTCCCTATGCAAGCAGGCCTGATGGGGCAGCCACACACATTAATACACACACACACACACATGCACACACACACACACACACACACACATGCACACACACACACACACACACACACACCATCGAAAATGTAACTTTTGCAAAGGTAATAAACTACCTCTTTCCTTCCCTATGCAGGCAGAGGAAAACGCGTCTCCCGACCCTCCGTGTCCCCAGGCTACCGACCCATCCTCCCCAGCAGTGCCATGAACCCACCCGGCACCACCCCGGTCCGACCCAGGACTCAGCAGCCCATTATCATACTACAGGGCCAGGCGGGGGTGATGCAGCAGCCTGTGGTTATGGCACTGCCCCCAACATCACCCGGTCTCGTCATGATGCCGAGACAACATGTGGGAGGGATGGTAGTCCCACAACAGACTGGCAATGTTGTCTTGGCTGCTAAACCTGGACAGTAGTATTCACTCAATGTGTTGATGAAGACATCCGGGTACATGTATACGTATAGAACATTGTATAATACAGATTCTGAAATTATAGATCAAGTAACAGAGAATCAGAGTCATTCTCCCAATCTCATTCACTGATGAAAGATAGTGGATGCAGTATGACTCTTCAAAGAATTTCTGCAGTTGCCTGACCCAAGCCTCAGCAGCCCATCATCATATCATGATGCCAAGACAACAAATAGTGGTTCCACAACAGGCTGGCAATGTTGTCCTTGCTGCTAAACCTGGACAGTGACTTTCGTAGATCAAGGAGCCTCAGTATTTGAAGCTCCTTGCATAGATAGAGTTTGAGTCATCCAGGTGTATACTACATGTTACACACAGATAGATCAAGCAACTAAAAAAGAGAGTCACTCTCTCAATCTCAGTCAATTATGAAAGGTTGGATGCTGTATGGAACATCAGAGGATGTACAAAATGTATGCAGTTGCCTCGTGTATTTTGTACTACGTAAGCGACATGCGCAGTTACCAGGCGGGTATGGTGGGGCAACCTGTGGTCCTGTCACTGCCTCCAAACTCACCCGGAGGTCTGGTCATGATGCCACTGTGTCAGCAAGTGGTGGTTCCACAACAGGCTGGCAATGTTGTTTTGGCTGCTAAACCTGGACAGTGACTTTCGTAGAAGTTTTGACATTCATGCATGTAGATCATTATATGGTACAGAAATAGAACAGGCAACTGAGAACGAGAGTCCTCTCAATCTCTCAGTTACTGAGGAAAGGTAGTGGATGCTGCCCCCAACATCACTGGGAGGTCTGGTCATGATGCCACCGAGACAACAAGTGGCTCCACAACAAGCTGGCAATGTTGTTCTTGCTGCTAAGCCCAGACAGTGACACTTTACTACAAGTGTACATGTAGCAAACTGGCAACACTTCTGTGGAATGTGTTTGTGTATTTACGGATGGTATCACATTTGTAGTTTTCAAATGTTGCATACGAGCCAAAAATTTGTGTATATGTTAAAAATTGTTAATACCATTTCGCCTCCACCCATGTATGTTGTATAAATAATAATAGTATTCCAAACATTTTTAGGCAGGAACTTTTGGATCTATTATTCAACGATCTCTTGCCTTAACCTTAAAGGAAATAAAGGATCCTGTTGGCTCAAATTTAATCACGGTTTCTTAAGTGTTCTTAAGTGTTGGCTTAAGCAATGGATTATATATTAAGGCACTAAGCCATGGTATATGTGTGGGGAGTAATGTGAAGGATGGAGGGACTTATGTACTTTGCTTCTTATTTTTCTTTCCTGAACCATTGCATATGAATATCCTATAATTACAAACTGACTCAGTAGATCATATTATATCTTAGCACTAATAGCAGGGTTTTTTCTAAACAGGGGAATTAAGAAGGGCGCTGCTCCCTCATGTAACCAGCCAGCTCCCTCATATCAATTTTCAGATTGAACCCTAATAATAAGTGGCTACTAGTACTTACACACCATTTAGTCTTTCTCAAAATTATCTCTTTCCAATAAAGACGTGCTTTCTAGCATTACAAACTGTGTTACTCTCATAAAAAAATCCCAAATCAGTCGATTTGCTCCCTCACCATGCTTGCAATCTGCTCCTTATTCATGCTAAGTTTTTCTAGAAAAATCCCTGCTTAGTATATACATTGTAACTATCCACTGTCTAAGCCATGGTATAACCTGTAGGTAGTAATGTGAAGGCTGGAGGGACTTATGTACTTTTGAGAACCATCTGTTCGCTGGATGTGAGTTTTACGTCATGCGAAGCTGCCAGATGGCACAGTGTATTTCCTAACTAATCGCCGAGCAGATTTACATGTACCGGTGGTAGGATACATTCAAGTAGTTGGCCAAAAAAAGTGCATAAAGCCACCTTTTTTTTGCCAGCTGTCTATGTACTGTAATTCCTGATTTTTTTCACGGTACTGTTATGTTCACTGTTTTCACCGTCACTTCTGTACCGTGAATTTATCATTACAGTTAACAAATAATTCCTGGACTTTCTTTTTCCTGCACCTTTCGCCACCGTGTATATAGTTCTGTGAACATGTCCACTTTTCTCAGACCGTGAAGGTTTTCTACTGTGGACATAAAGTGCATTACTGTAACAGTTACTTATTGTTTCTATAGTTTGTGTAGAGCATTGAAGAGGAAAACAGAAGACACTACAAAAGTTGGGTACAATAAGCAAGGATTTAATATTCGTTACTGTGTACTACCCATATTTTCTGAATAATTATTATTTTTCTTTCCTGAACAATTGCACATAAAGATCCTTTGACAATATGACTCGGATACTTGGTGGTACTCTAGTGTATGAAACACTATAATGGCCTTCACTTCGATTAGAAATAATTCTTTTTTACCTTAGGCCACACCAATTTAATTTCTTGGTTAACGGATTCGCCGCTTCATTTTTTTCTGATTTGCAAATAAAAATAAAAATTCAGAATCAACTGCAAAATGCTCATATTTTGCCCTGAACAGTTGAAAACAGTCCTTTTCATACTTCTTGTTAAAGTCATTCCATCTTTCAATGCAGTGGTATCATTAAAAGTTCAAAATTCATTGTCAAAATTTTGAACCAGCCTGGTGTGTTGACTTCATGGCTCCTATCGTACAATTTTGGGCCATAATAGGATGTCTAGGCCTGTTTTTATTTTAATTTTTTTTTCGCCCGCCCGCTCCATTATTTTTGTAGAAAAATCCGTTAACCAAGAAATTAAATTGGTGTGGCCTTATACATTACATGTTCAGTTAAGTGGTGCAGTGAATCATAGGAATTAGTTCGTAAGTATGAAATATACATGTACATGTATCAACAAACCTTTTAATTTCTTTCATCTCATATGAATAATATTCCACAAACGACATAAATTACTTTCCTCAAATACTGGTTCCGCTTAGACTAGTCCAAAAATATTCACAGTCCATTTTCTGAGTAAAACATTAATTTTGCTTTTCCCATTCATCTTTTCAATTCTTTTAAACCGTACCAAGGTTTCAACCAAGACATTCAGATATGGTAAGAGTAGCAATCTTGGGCTGTAATTAAAAGAAACCATATATTATATTCTGTACAATTTAGGATTGCCAAAATACTTTTGACAGTAAAAATCCAGTGCCCTATTGAAGCAAATGCAGTGGTCCTGGAATGAGGAACGACAGTGTGTGTGTTTGGGGGGTGTAAACACGTCGAAGCATTTGTAGGTTGGTGTTTGCAAAGTCCAATTTCCAATTTTTGTGTCAGCAATTACAGCTCAACTTTTCTTCAGAAATTTACAGTAGTTACAGTAATTTACAGAACAATTAGGATCGTCAAGATACTTTTGACAGTAAAATTTCCAGGGCATTTTCAGTCCTGTGGAGGAACAATTCTCCCTTGACTGACTCACTCCAGAGCCCTGTCAGAGAAAGTATTAGACAGTACTCTCCAAGCAGAGGTTTGGGTTTAGGGTTATTTTGGTGTGTTTTAAGGCTTTTTTTATCAAGGTTTCTTTTTTGCACTGGAATTTTTTTGGCCCAACCCCATAAAACGTACATAATTTACAGCAGTTCTCTGAGAGGCAGTGCGGGGAGGGTGGAGTTGACCCTGTTGACCCAGAAGTTGGCGCAGGGAGCGTGGTACTGCCTCCCTCCGTACTGAAGCTTGTTGCCGGTCGAAGGACTCGTAATTTCATACTTATAATCAAACCTCTGCATCAATAGATAACAACTCTGAAGAGAAGGGACTTCCTTCAACTGTTGGGGCCAAAATTTGAGAATTTTGGAGTTGATTCAGAGCCTGAAATTTGTTTTTTTTTGCAAATCACGGAAATTGAAGTGGGCGAATCTGAGAACCAAGAAATAAAATTGGCCTAATTTCCTTCACAAAGTACATAACTTTATAGCAGTCCTGCGAATAATTCTCCCTTGACTGACTCACTCCAGAGCCCTGTCACAGAAAGTATTAGTACTCTCCAAGCAGAGGTTTGGGTTATTTTTGGTGTGTTTTTAGGCTTTTTTTATCAAGGTTTCTTTTTTGCACTGGAATTTTTTTTGGCCCAACCCCATAAAACGTACATAATTTACAGCAGTTCTCTGAGAGGCAGTGCGGGGAGGGTGGAGTTGACCCTGTTGACCCAGAAGTTAGCGCAGGGTGCGTGGTACTGCCTCCCTCCGTACTGAAGCTTGTTGCAGTCAGGAACGCCTTGCAAGTTTCTACCATGAACTTCATACTTATAATCAAACCTCTGCATCAATAGGTAACAACTCTGAAGAGAAGGGACTTCCTTCAACTGTTGGGGCCAAAATATGAGAATTTTGGAGTTCATTCAGAGCCTGAAATTTGTAGTTTTTTTTTGTTGTTGCAAATCACGGAAATTGAAGCAGGCAAAACTGAGAACCGACAAATAAAATTGGTGTGGCCTAAATTCCCTTCACAAAGTACATAACTTTACAGCAGTCCTGCAAATAATTCTCCCTTGACTGACTCACTCCAGAGCCCTGTCACAGAAAGTATCAGTACTCTCCAAGCAGAGGTTTGGGTCATTTTTGGTGTGTTTTTAGGCTTTTTTACCGAGGTTTCTGGAATTTCTTTTTGCCCGACCCCATAAAATGTACATAACTTTACAGCAGTTCTCTGAGAGGCAGTGCAGGGAGGGTGGAGTTGACCCTGTTGACCCAGAAGTTGGCGCAGGGTGCGTGGTACTGCCTGCCGCCGTACTGAAGCTTGTTGCAGTCGTCCTGGCGGTCGAACGCCTTGCTGCGAGAGTCCACGCTCAGCAGGCAGACCCCACAGGCCAGCTGGGCGTCGCTGATCCCCGGCTTCAGGGCACCCGTGGTGAAGTCTAGGGACCCTGGTTCAGGCTGAGAAATACAGACACAATTTTAAAACCATTGTCCTGCGAAGCACAACAATTGTTGTTCTGCAGTACCATCTATATAGCACCCTGTATAGATACGATTTGGGGGTATTTCTCGTGCAACGCATCACACCGCAGTGAAACGCAACAAATGCGAACAAGGTGGAAGTCACTATGCCACTGCAGGGCAAAAAAATTGGGGGTCTATGATCTAAAGTAAGACATGAAATTATTGAAAAATATTGTGCCAGGAATGCCAGCAGGACAAGGGTTAACAAATTTGCTTAGTGCAATGCTTTTAGGCACTGAACTACTGGTAGCAAAAGCGAACATAGAGTATAGATAGGAGTAGAGCAGGATGGGGAAGAATCTCTTAACAAGAGGAATGCAGTTGTTTTTTTTTACAGATATCACAATCTTCCTGTGGTACACAAAGTAAGGCCTGAAGTATTATGAGATGTGATTCAAGGCACATCATACAAAATGCAACTGGACATTTTACAAACCTGAAAAGTAATGATTTGTAAAGAAAGCATCACACTCACCACAAATTGAGCCTGTCCACAGATTCAAAAAGACCAGGGAGGGAGAGAGAGAATGAGAGAGCATAGACAGAGTGAAGAGAACATGTTTACACCAGCACGGAACTGTAAAGGCACGGCCACATTTACAACTTGTTGGAATAAGACATTGCCTGAACCATTTACCAAAAGTAAAAAATCCTCTGAATTTTCTGTGTCATTTATATCTCTCTGGCATTAAGTCTCATATACATAATATAATTCCAATGGATCAACCCATTTACAACTTCATCTTAGCAATGTATTACACCATTACACACAAGGAAAAATTGTTACGCAAGATTTTTGAAAACCGACAGTTTTCAAAATCGATGTACAATGCATTACACTGCATTATATGAAAGTGAACAATATTCCACTAAAAATGTTTGTATGGTACAACTACTGAATCGTGTTGACATACCATGATAGGACTGGAGGTGAGGAAAGCGCTCAGGTTGTTCCAGACCAAGTCTATCTCCTTTAGCAGCTGGTGTAGTTCTGCAGTACCGCAGCCTGCAGATAGAGGGCACCACTGATAAAACGTCCCACCGTACAATACAGTGTGTAACAGCAGCTACTACCAGCATGTAAGAAAACTATTACTGTTGGGTTAATCCCTGAATAGAAGCCCACAGCAAACCCTAGCAGGCCCCGATGTTGTGCCCTTCGGAAATGAATACCTGGCTTTGGTTAGGGACGTTGGATGGGACATAAAGCTGAAGGTCCCATGTTTAAAGAGAGCCACACCTTGAGTTACATTTGTAAATATCCCACTACACTTATTGAAAGAGTAGCGGCCCTTCCCGATGTGAGTGGATCAAAGCTTACAGCCCGGTTTTACACAGCTTGCACTTACAGTACAAAACTTGGTGTGCTATATGCTTCATATACAGATGCTTAAGGTGGTTCATCAGTTATGCGAAACAAACACAGGTACTTACTGGCAGATTTCATGCCGACAGTGATGCGGCACACAACTCTGTAGATCTCAATAATTCCTGGGTGAAGTACAATCAGATGTAAGACAATGATAGTAGTCTAAATTTACATCATGATTGTAATGGGTAAACCCTACAAAAATGTCTACTAGTAGGTACACCGGTGATAGAGAAAACCATTCCCATTCCCAGAACTACCAATAGGATTCTCTGTGTGGAAACCAGCCATCACAAGCCACCAACACGATTCCAGACAATTCTCGGTTTGACCAAGGAGGTTAAATACAAGATTTTAACTCCATGGTTTGACAATGATTATGTCAGCACATACATGTATGCATAAATCAATAGTACTAGTGTTGGTCATCCAGAGGCCTGACCAGTGGGATAGCTGCTATGAGTGTGATGTAGTCAGGCCAAGAAGTGCATAAAATTATGAACCCACTATTTCTAGCCAAGAGACAGCAAACCCACCTCACCTCTGATGTAGTCTGATCACCCCTGTATAAATGGACAACTGAATAAAACAAACAAACAAACACACAAACCCACCTCTGATGTAGTCGGACCCCTGTATAAATGGACAACCGAATAAAACAAGCAAACAAATAAACAAACATACGCCAAAAAGCAGTTACTCAAGCAACTGGATATGATTTTGGAAATGGTCAGACGATTCAGGTAGCATCCACTAGCTTTCGTCAGTGACTGAGAGACCAGAGGTGAAATGCAGGTTTATAAGCACAAACTATTGATTGACCATTTCCAAAATCATATCCAGTTGCTTGAGTAACTGCTTTTTGGTGTATCGTACTACCTGGATGCCTAACCTTCATCGACGTAAATAAACAAACAACTGACCTCTGATGTAGTCTGAGCCCTGTACGGACTTGATGACCTCCCCGCAGACGGAGGAGCTGCTGATGTCGTTGAAGACGTTGTTGGCGCTCCGGATCTCCTTCAGACACGACTCCAGACACCGCTTCCACTCGTACTCGTGTCGCTCGTTGTCCTGGACACCAGAAAACAAACAACACTAAGTAAACAAAAGGTACTATTTACATGTATAAAAGCAAATATGTATTTTCTTCACATGGTCTAACCTATGAAACTACTGCTCTGTTTATTCTTCCTCAAGAACATGGTGGGTGGAGACCGGCCCCTTGAACTCTGTCCTGCTGCTTGCTACATAAAGTAATCCAACACCACAGGGTGTCTGCTACAGCACCAGTTACCATGGTGACAGACATCTGGTCCAGATCATTGCCTACAATGTTTTCCTTCTGCAAATTTAAAGGTTATGAAAGTGATCTCCTTCAGACACGACTCAAGACATCGCTTCCACTCGTACTCGTGTCGCTCATTGTCCTGCAAACCACAGAACAAAAAAAAAAAAAATTTTAACGGCTCTTGATTGTAAATGTGCTGATGTTGACAAATTGGCACACCAAATCCGCAGGGTGTTTTTGGCACCCAGTTAGACAATTAGCCAAAGAGGCTCGGTGGGTGTCTCTCCACCGTACATGGTGGGGAAGTCGTGCAAAGTGCCTTTCCTAAGGGCACAACGTCAGGCCATGGTGAGTATCGAGTCCAACGCTCTAATTGTTCTAACTCTTAGGCCACACCAATTTAATTTGTTGGTTCTCGGATTTTTCCAGAAAAAATTTGAAGCGACAGGGCGAAAAAAAATAAAAATAAAAACAGGTCTAGGCATCCTATTATAGGCTTAAATGCTACGGAATGAGCCATGAAGTCAACACAAAAGGCTGGGTTAAAATTTAAACATTTTGAACTTTTAATCAAACCACTGCAATGATAGAAGGGAAAACTGTAACAACTAGGAAGAAAAGGACTTTCCTCAACTGTTGGGGGCAAAACATGAGCATTTTTCAGTTGATTCAGGACCAGAATCAAATTTTTTTTTTTTTGCAAATCAGAAAAAAATGAAGAGGCGAATCCGAGAACCAACAAATTAAATTGGTGTGGCCTTATGACTGAAAACCACGGAACAGAAAACAAACACCACTAGGTAAACAAAAGGTAACATTTATAAAAGCAAATATGTCATGTTTATCTACGCATGGTCAAGCCTAACAAACTGCTGCTCTGTTCATTCTTACTTAAACACAGTCATATACATGGCAACCAGCCCCTTCAACTCTGTCCTGCCACTTGCCATATGACGTAACCAACACCACAGGGTGTCTGCTACAGCACCAGTTACCATGGTGACAGACATCTGGTCCAGTTCATTGCCCTACTTTGTTTGGAATGGAAGAAGAGGGAGAGGAATAAACAGAGAAAAACAAATGAATATTTTTTCCTTCTGCAAATTTAAAGGTTATGAAAGTGATCTCCTTCAGACACGACTCGAGACATCGCTTCCACTCGTACTCGTGACGCTCGTTGTCCTGGATACCATGCAAACAGAAAACAAACATGAAATTTGTCTCATTGTCCCTTACCTCTTCCTTCATGACCTCAATGAAAAGCAGCCTGTAGGGTGCTGATATGAGCATTTCATGAATAAACAAAGGCCCAAACAAGGAACCATTTATCCATCTATTCATTGAGATTTGCCACATTTGTGGTAGGATTGGCATGATGTGTGACTATAACTTATCTAACGGTACTGGTATAAGATGTAAAGCTGTAGGTTTTGTGTTTGAGGACAGTCACAGTACACCTCAAGCTTGTTACAGATCCCACTACATGTACACTTACTGAAGAAAGTACATGTAGCTATAGGGGTCCATCCTGGTGTGAGTGGTTCAAACCTTACAGTCTGGTCTCAGGGTTGACATCTTGGAAAGGCGAGAGCGACTTTTTATGTCAATCCTCCTACAAATGTGGTAAATCTTAATAGATAAATAAAAATATATAGATTAAGGGCAGATATGTGTTTGTATCTTACCTCCACAGTGCCTGATACACCAGAGTATCTGTCCCTGAGGTACAGAGGGGAGCTGTCTGCTACAAGTTTGGTGGGGTTAGGATTAGGGTTAGGGTTGGAGTTACATGTAGGGTTATGGTCAGGGTTAGGGGTTAGGCTTAGGGCTAGGGTTAGGCTAGCTAACAAGGTTGTGTACGAGTTGACATGTGTTTGTATATATCTTACCTCCACAGTGCCTGATACACCAGAGTACCTGTCCCTGAGGTACAGAGGAGAGCTGTCAGCCACAGCCTTGGTGGGAACACTGCTGGCCAGGACAACCGCACCGGCGTACTTGCCTGTTAGAGACAGGATTTGTATCACTCACTGGAGTACACGTGCAGCACTTCTATACTTGCCTAAGGGCTGAGTACCAACATGTAGTATTTTATTTTATTCACATTTATTTTCCGAGGATGAGGCAAAAAGTTATAAAACTTATCTCAGCCCTCTCCTCACACATAAAAGGATACAATAAAACAAAGTAATAATAATAATAAGAAATGACAAGGGTACATAGTAGGCTGGTGTACAAATCAAAATGAATCAACTAAATCAAACAAAACGTCCTGTCTGCAAAATAAAGTTGAAAACCACATCAAATATGTTACAGTTGTTGACAAACGACAATGAGGGGTTACCCCTGAGAATGGTTGAACATAAAGTGTTGTCGGTGACGTTGTTTGTGTCAAATGGCAGAATGTTAGTTAGAGATGATAACATGTAGTATTTAGGTACTGGTCCAGTACATGCATCTGTCCTTGGTGCTGAACACCATCCAGGCAGAGAAAGGATTCGCATCCCTCACTGGAGTACATGTGCAGCACTACTCAGCTTGGAATACTGGGTGCATATGCACTTTTTGCACCCAAAATTGAAACTGTGCAGTTGATTTTGAGTAGGGTGCACTGGTGCACCTAAATATTTGAGTTATGTAGGTTTACAATTATGCAAAGGTACTGGTAATCTTTTCACTGGTATACAGGATATTCCTGACATGCAAAGTGCCGTGAAAAAATGACAAAAGCTTTCTGGCATCCCTTGTTTAAAATTCTCAAGTAGCAATGAAATTTCAGATCCAAGCCCTCAAGAGAGACCGTAAGGCTTGTAATTTGCATTTGCTGACATTGTACATTGTACTTTACCTTATGCATTGTACCAACATTTTTTTCTGTGTACCTATGTGTAATAGTCCTAAATTCTTACATGTACGTTAAGTGCACCAGTGCAGCTATTGATCTATTTCCAGTAATGAATTTTGATCCCTGTGGCATACATGTACATGTAGAGAACTTCATTACTGTGTAAGAAACAGGAGGAGCCGGTAGAAACAGATAAAAACCCATTGGTCCCAGGCTGGCGTTCGAACCCACAACCCCCCGGGCCCCAGTCAGACACTCTAACAGCTCAGCCGAAAAGGTCTAGACCCATTGGCCGGGTCAGTTGGTAGCGCCTATAAACCCCCACTGTTACAACTGCAAATCAAGACTTATATGATGCCACACCCACCTGCTTCTTTACTCCCCACAACAGTACCACTTCCGCTTTCTGCAGCGCTGAAGTCTCCAAACTCGTCCTGCCCCCCTCCCGACGCCTTCTCAGCCGCAGAGTTGAAGTCACCAAAATCATCCTCTGGTGGCGGAGGAACAGTTTTATTCGCACTCTTTAAGTCCGACAGGTCGGTCAAGTCGCGAAGCTGTGTCGATTTCGCGTCCGTTTGTATCGAATCAAACAGCGACGTCGGTAAGGAAGTTTCGCTGCCACCCGATTGGCTGATTCCCATCGACCAATCGGGCAGCTTCGATGCCTCAGGCTGGCTGAGGTTTGAAAGTTGTTGTCCGAACGCTGCCGTCGTTGTGCTACTTTGCACCGGATCAGTGAAGCTACCGAATGTCTGGGTTGCACTTGAGGAGATTAAACTACTAACATCGCCTACAGTACTCGTCCCCGGCCCTTTGAAATCTCCAAATGGAGACTGTTTCGAAGGGGAACTCCAAGAGAAGTCCCCAAATTCAGAATCCTTGCTCTCAGTTCCCTGCCTACCGCTCTGCTCCTTAAACATGTCATACTTGTCAGAATCAGCAGGAGGCGCTGCTGCACTAGTACCCAAACCTGCGAAAGCGCCGAATTCATCAGTAGCCTTCATTGTTGACTGGTTGTTGCCAAACAAACCTGTATCCTTCCCTGATGGTGGAGCTACACTCATAGAACTGAAGTCCCCAAACTCTTCATCCTTGCTGGCAGGTTCGGTTGAGGATGTTGCTACATTGAGTCCTGGTAGCTCGAGGCTCTGTACTGACTGTGTGTCCTTCTCGCTTCCTGTCTTTTTAGACTCTGCCGACGAAAGACTACCGAACAGGTCCTCCTGAGTCTGGCCTTCCGAGCTTCCCCCCAACTCTCGAAAGATTCCGTATTTGTCGGAATCCTTTGAGGCGTCCCCCGTGCTTCCTATGGATGTGAGGCTCTGAGTGTCCTCGGAAATGTCTTTGAAGACTGCGTACTTGTCTAGAGTTTTGTCGTCTCCGCCCATCAAGTCGGAGGACTGCTGGAAATCTGCAAAGTCGTCGCCCGTTGTTGCAGCAGCAGTTTTCCCAGACTGGACAAAATCGGCGAATCCTGACAGGCTCTCAGTCAGCTTCTGTCCCGAACCAGACTTTTTCAAATTCGACGTTGTCGCAGTAGACGCAAATTCACCGAACTCAGTCGTGCTGCCTCTACCTTGTTTCTCCCACACGTTTGAATCCGCGGACTTAAAATCGGCGAAGTCGTCGAAAGATTTCTTGCGAATGTTGAAGATGTCCGCCGACATGGGTGGAGGAGGTGCAGTTTTTGAACCCGACAGAGGGGGCGCCGCTGCACTGCTGTCATCCTCAAACCCGGCCAAGTCCGGTAGAGCCTTGTTGTGATGGAGGGATTTGAGAAAAGGTGGCACAGGGGCAGGGGCAGGGGTGGGCTCCGAGGAGGCGGACTTGAAGTCTGCAAAATCATCCCCTTCCGCAGCTACTTCTGTACTTTGCACGCCTGAACCTGTGGGAAACAAGGTTGACTTGTGGTTAGGGTTTGTAAATGGCTCGGAAGCTGAAGGTTCTGGGTTCGAATCCCGAGCAGGCCCCAGTGCTGTTCCCTTGGGAAAGACACCATAACAGAAGCCTCCATAGCATTCCAAAAACCAGGGGTCTTCAGGGTCTTTGGGATCTTTTATGTGCTATTTTCTGACAACATAGCCGGCCTGGTTGAATTACCCCCGTTTTGTTTAGAACTGGGCTAATCAGAAAACAGCCGAAGACCACCAAACCCACAGTTCTATAAGCCTGCTACGGAGGCTAATCAGAAAACAGCCGAAGACCACCAAACCCCCAGTTCTATAAGCCTGCTATGGAGGCTAGCTTAACAGCTATTTCCTCACTTAGTGAAAATGAGACATAAAGCCGGAGGTCCCGTGCTCAAGAAGAGCCACACCTAAAGCATGTTGAAAATCCCATCATAGTCAATAGCCTATTGATGAAGGTTAAGACATTCAGGTTAAGGATACTCATAGACAATACAAACTCTGCTTCCAGTTCAAAATGACTCACATGTTTTTTTTCTTCCGTCTTTTCTACGTAAATGAAGACTTGTTCTGACAGTAATTTAGTGATGCTGAAGAAGATTGATGGATATCACTCACGTTGATGTTCCATCCAGTTGTAGAGTTTGAATTGTCTATGAGTTACATTTTGTTAAGTTACATCTTAACTGGGAGGTCAGACTGTGGAAAGGGGGTGTGAGTAAGGTTAAGGGTGCTGCAGCCACCTAGTACCTGAGAACTTTGTCACCAAGATTTAGTTTCAAATTCAAAGTTTAACCCTACCCTAACACCATGGTTCTCTCAACTTAGCCACCAGGTCTAGGGGAGGAGGCACAATCAGCCCAGCACGTCAGCAGAACGTACTGCACTTGCACGAAACCCGTAATGTATTGTGCATAGCACTTCAGCAGAATGTCTCATATAAGGTCGTATTTGCGCATATAAGGCCACACCAATTTATTTCCTTGGTTAATGGATTCGCCGCTTGCTTTTTTTGCCGAATGAAAATAAAAATAAAAAACGTCATAGTTTAGACCCCACAGGCCGGTAATACCCTGAACAGGGAGACCCCAATGAAATTGCTGCAGTTGATACCAATGTCGCTAGAGGCGCTCCTGCACACATAGTCACATGACGTAAAGTAGCCAATCGTGGATTGTTTTACTTTCTGACCAATCAGATGCGATGTTCTGGAACCATGTTGGCTCAGTCATTTGTTTTGTTCTGCATGGTGGACAAAATTTGCGGCGGAAGCTTAAATTGTTTGAGAAAGCTGGAACTTTGGATCAAGGCAGAATCTAGGTACAGTACATGTACAATTGAATAAATTTTGTCCCCTTTAAAGTTGTTGTGACTATGAAATTGCTTGTGAGAGTTAACATTCGTGTCATGTTTTAGAGTACATATGATGATGGTGGAACTTGGAAGCAAGGACTTGTTGGAAGTAACATGCTAAAACTTGTTTTCTGCTCGTGTACGAAAAAGATTATCAACCCAATGGTGTGGATAGCAAATAAAACACAATACAGTACATCCTCTCTTGCCTTTTGTTTCTTTCCCAGTATTTTCGTAACTTAACCCTTGTCCTGCTGGCATTCCTGGCACAATATTTTTCAATAATTTCATGTCTTAATTAGATTATAGACCCCCAATTTTTTTTGCCCTGCAGTGGCATAGTTACTTCCGCATTCGTTGCGTTTCGCTGCGGTGTGATGCGTTGCACGAGAAATACCCCCAAATCGTACCTATACAGGGTGTAATATAGATGGTACTGTATGTGCCGCGCGACATATGTTGCGCACAGCAGGACAAGGGTTAATAAGCAGTCTGGATTTCACACTACATGGCTGTATGGCAGGTAGTATCAAATTTTTATTTTTATTTTTTTTTCGCCCGCCCGCTCCATTTGTTTTTGTACAAAAATCCGTTAACCAAGAAAATAAATTGGTGTGGCCTAAGGTTAACATCCCGTCTGTAGCTTCCAAATGTTGTGTTGGAAAAGATATCATCTCCAACAGGCAATGTTGAATGCAACGAAAACTGTGAAAAATCTGGGTTTTGCGCAGGTGCAGTACGTTTTGCCAACGTGCTCAAAAAGATCTGCTTGGAGACTATTGAGGGGGGTGGGG